CGGGGTTGAGCCTTATATAAAGATCATTATGTTTTCCTCCCAGCCTTTTTATCACCCCTTGAGCCCCATAAAACCCTAAATCACGAAGAAGCACCATTGTTGAGTGGATTGGAGCTTGGAGAAGTAATTGTTGAAGGAATTTTGGGAGATTGAAGGCTTGGAGCAAGGGGCTTTTCTTGGATTCGAATTACATTACAGTTGGGGCATCACTTAGAGGTAATATCTCGTTATTGAGTTGTTGTTATGTTGTTTTTTAATTTTGGGGTTTGTGAGAATTTGTCTATGGATGAAATGGGAAGTCTAGAGGTTAGATATGAGGTTGCTACCTCAGATCTGGAAGGGAGAAGAATCAGAGAGCATGAAAGTCCCTGTGTTGGAGTGTTAGTGAAGCTTACATGTCCCAAACCCTAGCCCAATGAAAAGGCTAGATCTCTTTGGATTCACGTAAAGTTTGCCACTTTACGTGATGGATGAGTGGAGGCTAGATCTATGTTTTGGAGCAGTTTGCATGGCCTGGAATGCTTCTGTATGGATTCAGACCGGTGGTACTCGGCGAGTCACATGGGTGGACTCGACGAGTTGCTTGAAGATGAGCTGGGACTCGGCGAGTTGGAAGAACAACTCGGCGAGTAGGTTGATGATAGCCTTAGACTTGGCGAGTCTGTTCTTGGACTCGGGAGTCTTGTCGAAGGGTCCCGATATTCTCTGGTTGAGTCGAGAATCGGTGAGTTGTGTGCGAGTGGACTCAGAGTTGTTGGACTCGGCGAGTCTCGGGTGACTCGGCGAGTTAGGTCGCGGATTGAGTGAAGTTCTGATTATGGGAACTCGACGAGTCACAGGGTTGACTCGGCGAGTAGGGTCGAGTAGGGTCAGACGGGGTTGACTTAGACTGAGACATTGATTTTGACCAAGGGTTTGGCCGTTGACTTTTAGGGTTGGTCAGCGATGTGGCCTTTGGGCCAAGAGAGGGGTAAAATAGTCTTTTACCCTTAAGAGGGTGTCATGAGAGGATTGATTCTAGTCTCGAGAGTTATATTCATGAGAGTATTTGCCTTACGTGTTAGGCAGTGGCGAGTTCGAGATTTATGTGTGGGGATATTTGCTTTCTGCTTGCCAGGTGAGTCTTCTCACTATACTTTACCTTGAGTAGGTAACCAGAGTTATGTGATCAGAGTATTTGTATGCTATATGTCGTGATGTATTGTACTGCATTACTTCTATGTGATTTATGCTTGTGCATGTTTATAGAGTTGGAACCGGAAGGTTCCAGAGTTAGAACCTGAGGGTTCACAGAGTTTGGGTGCACGGACCCATAGAGTTATAGCCTCGAGTGGCTAATATGTGTTATGGTGTGGTATTTTGGGGAACTCACTAAGCTTCTGCTTACAGTGTTTTGTGTGATGTTTTCAGGTTTCTTTAGTATCACGAGACGGCACCGGCTTGATTGTACACACCAGAGA